CACTCGTACTACACTCACCCGATCTTGATCCCCCACACCCGCTTCACTCTCACCCGCTTCGCTCTCACCCGCTTCGCTCTCACCCGCTTCGCTCTCACCCGCTTCGCTCTCACCCGCTTCACTCTCACCCGCTTCGCTCTCACCCGCTTCGCTCTCACCCGCTTCGCTCTCACCCGCTTCACTCTCACCCTCTTCTACCACACTTACACACTCATATGCAACATTCAATTCTACAACATATAAGATATTTCGCATGAGGTGTCATAGATTTTTTCATCAGTGACTTGACGGGGAAGCCTGGACGAAGGATCGATCCTCCAGCACTTCTTGTGCTAAATGGCCCACACGGGCTTAGCGCTTCATGGAAACAAAACATAAATATAATAATTTATAACTGAATGCAATCGTAAAGAAAGCACTGTCTGGCACACTGCTGTTCTTCAGGTTAGTGCCAGAGGGCAAAGACACTGAGAAGCGTATTAATTTGGCACTTGATTGAGATACTTGGCACACAAGCGCACGCATACATGCGCACACACACACACACACACACACACACACACACACACACACACACACACACCCACACACACACACACACACACACACACACACACACACACACACACACACACACACACACACACACACACACACACACACACACACACACACAAACACAAACACACACACAGCAGATATACTGTGTGTGCCATTAACCACAATCTTCAACACATCCCTTGAAACTGGGCAACTACCTGAGGTGTGGAAGACCGCAAATGTAGTTCCCATTTTTAAAAAAGGAGACAGAAAAGAGGCACTAAATTACAGACCAGTGCCACTGACCTGTATAGTATGTAAAGTCATGGAGAAGAATATCAGGAGGAGAGTGGTGGAGCACCTGGAACGGAACAAGATTATAAACGATAACCAGCATGGATTCATGAAAGGCAAATCCTGTGTCACAAACCTTCTGAAATTTTATGACAAAGTTACAGAAGTGCGACATGAGAGAGAGAGGGGTGGGTTGATTGCATTTTCTTGGACTGCAAGAAGGCCTTCGACACAGTTCCTCACAGGAGACTAGTGCAGAAACTAGAGGATCAGGTGCGTATAACAGGAAGGGCACTGCAATGGATCAGAGAATACCTGACAGGGAGGCAACAACGAGTCATGGTACGGGATGAGGTATCACAGTGGGCACCTGTGACGAGCGGGGTCCCACAGGGGTCGGTCCTAGGACCAGTGCTATTTCTAGTATACGTGAATGACATGATGGAAGGTGTCCCTGTTCGCAGATGATGTGAAGTTAATGAGGAGAATGAAATCAGATGAGAACCAGGCAGGACTTCAAAGAGACCTGGACAGGCTGGACACCTGGTCCAACAACTGGCTTCTTGAATTTAACCCTGCCAAGTGCAAAGTCATGAAGATCGGAGAAGGGCAAAGAAGACTGCAGACAGAGTATAGACTAGGTGGCCAAGGACTGCAAACCTCGCTCAAGGAGAAAGATCTTGGGGTGACCATAACACCGAGCATGTCTCCGGAGGCACACATCAACCAGATAACTGCTGCAGCATACGGGCGCCTGGCAAACCTGAGAATAGCGTTCGATACCTTAGTAAGGAATCGTTCAAGACACTACACTGTGTACATCAGGCCCATACTGGAGTATGCAGCTCCAGTTTGGAACCCACACCTGGGCAAACACGTCAAGAAATTAGAGAAAGTGCAAAGGTTTGCAACAAGGCTAGTTCCGGTGCTCAGGGGTATGTCCTACGAAGAAAGGTTGAGGGAAATAGGACTGATGACATTGGAGGACAGGCGGGTCAAGGGAGACATGATAACGATATACGAAATACTGCGTGGAATAGATAAGGTAGACAGAGACAGGTTGTTCCAGAGAGGGGACACAGAAACAAGGGGGTCACAATTGGAAGCTGAAGACTCAGACGAGTCATAGGGATGTTAGAAGTATTTCTTCAGTCACAGAGTCGTCGTCAGGAAGTGGAATAGCCTAACAAGTGATGTAGTGGAGGCAGGAACCATACATAGCTTTAAGACGACGTATGACAAAGCTCTGGAAACAGAAAGAGGACCTAGTAGCGATCACTGAAGAGGCGGGGCCAGGAGCTGTGTCTCGACCCCTGCAACCACAATTAGGCGAGTACAATTAGGTGAGTACACACACACACACACACACACACACACACACACACACACACACACACACACACACACACACCTATCCCAGGTTCTCTACACATATGCTGCTATGTATGATAATCTATGTAACTGTATTTGTGTATACCTGAATACACTTTCTTACAAGTCAAAGTAACTCTCTCAAGAAGGAAGGAGCACTGCAGTAGGCCTGCTGGCTCATATCTTCATATCCACAGCATCAGGTTTGGCAACATGATATAATGAGAACACTCCATATAATGACAACACTTGATACAATGCCAACACTCCATATAATGACAACACTCCGTATAATGACAACATTCCGTATAATTACAACACTCCGTATAATGATAACACTCCATATAATGAGAGCATTCCATATGACACTCCGTATAATGACAACACTCCATATGACGACATATAATGACAACACTCCGTATGATGACAACACTCCATATAATGATCACACTCCATATAATGACAACACTGTATAATGACAACACTCTGTATAATGACAACACTCCATATAATGACAACGCTGCATATAATGACAACACTCCATATAATAACACTCCGTATAATGATAGCACTCCATATAATGAGAACACTCAGTATAATGACAACACTCCGTATAATGATAGCACTCTATATAATGAGAACACTCAGTATAATGACAACACTCCGTATAATGACAACACTGCATATAATGACAACACTCCATACAATGACAACACTGCATATAATGACCACACTCCATATGAGAACACTTCGTATAATGAGAACATTCCGTATAATGACAACACTCCATATAATAACACTCCATATAATGACAACACTTCGTATAAGGACAACATTCCGTATAATGACAACACTCCGTATAATGACAACATCAGATATCAACAATCGAAAATAGTGTTTGAAAACGCAAAGTCTTGCCAACACAAAAAAGGTCACATTAGGTTAGGTTGACCTTTTTTTTCTGTGACCTTTTTTCTATGACCTTTTCGCCCTGGATCCAGTGTTAACGAGTGTTTCGAAAAAGGGCGAAACGTTTCGTGAAAAGATACCTAAACGTTCGTTACACAAATATCTTTTATTCTTTGTGTGTGTGTGTGTGTGTGTGTGTGTGTGTGGTGTGTGTGTGTGTGTGTGTGTGTGTGTGTGTGTGTGTGTGTGTGTGTTTTACCAGATATCAAAGGCACTTACCGATAGACACTTCGTCTGGGGAAGAGAGAGAGAGAGAGAGAGAGAGAGAGAGAGAGAGAGAAGACAAAAAGAGAGAGACAGAGAGGGGAGAGAGAGAAGATAGAGAGAGAGACAGACAGAGAGACAGACAGAGACAGAGACAGACAGACAGACAGTGTCGGTAAAAAAAAAATTCACTGTCCTGCTCCTTAAAAAATATACTCAATATAAACTATATATATATTTTTTGGCTTTAATAGCTTATCTATTTTGGTATTTTTATAAATATTTTTTTTTTTGGCATATATGGTACTGTATTAAACTAAAATAAATCTAATTCTTTGAAATCTAGAACACAGTCGTAATAACACTGTAACCTTAAGCACAGTTATAACACTGCATCACTAAGAGGCAATACAGTGAACACCACATTAATAAGTTATTATTGTACTGTACTTGACAAATATTCACTGTTTACATGAGGTGGTTCTTGTGTTCTAGGTATCGTCCTGCTTGTGCTTATGTATTTTCCTGTAATCTCTATCTAAAAATTTGGCGTCTACAAGACGTTGTGTCGAAAGGAAAAAAAAATTGAATGGCTGCATGTAAAGTTCGGACACATTCTTACGATAAAGCTTATGGAATATATTCTGTGATACGGAAAAGACACAGGTAATGAGCAAGCTTTTGTTTTGTCAACGTTGTGCTTTATCAGGTCAATGAGAGCTTTATCAGGCCAATGAGAGCTTTATCAAGCCAATGAGAGCTTTATCAGGTCAGGGATAAAGCTGTACCTGTGTCTTTTGACGTAACAATACTAAATCTCTTCATTTACTTCAGATTTACGAGGAATTTGATCAAAAACATCTGTTAAATTGGATTGGGTAACGTTACAGACTCGACGTTAGTGAGCCCAGTTTTACACAGTAATAACAAAGTTCAATAACGAAGGGAGAGTAACGGAGAATTTTGGTGGGATAACGTGTTGTTGGTGACGGTGGGGATTTATTTTGGTGGGGAGAGGGGTTAGTGGAGTGGGTAGTGTGGGTGAAGTAATGGAGTTGGGGGTGTTAGTGGTGTTGTTTATGGTAGTGGTGAATGTATGGTGAGTGTGGTGGGGGTGTTGATTTTTGGGTGGTCGTGGTGGAAGGAGTGTGGGTGGCTGGGTGTTGATGGCTGGGTGTTGATGGCTGGGTGTTGATGGCTGGGTGTTGATGGTAGGGTGTTGATGGCTGGGTGTTGATGGCTGGTGTTGATGGCTGGGGGTTGATGGCTGGGTGTTGATGGGAGGGTGTTGATGGCTGGGTGTTGATGGCTGGGTGTTGATGTGGGGTGTTGATGGCTGTGTGTTGATGGCTGGGTGTTGATGGCTGGGGGTTGATGGTAGGGTGTTGATGGCTGGGTGTTGATGGTAGGGTTGTTCATTGTGGGGTGTTAATGATGGGGTGTTGATGATGGGGTGTCGATGGTAGGGTATTGATGATGGGGTGTTGATGGTGGGGTGTTGACAGTGGGGTGTTGATGGTGGGGTGTTGACAGTGGGTGTTGATGGTGGGGTGTTGACAGTGGGGTGTTGATGGTGGGGTGTTTGACAGTGGGGTGTTGATGTGGGGTGTTGACAGTGGGGTGTTGATGATGGGGTGTTGACAGTGGGGTGTTGATGATGGGGTGTTGATGATGGGGTGTTGATACTGGGGTGTTGATGATGGGGTGTTGATAGTGGGGTGTTGATAGTGGGGTATTTGAAATCCTTCGACCTGTACTCCTTGAAGTGAAGACGAAGAAAATTCATCATAATTTTCACCTGGAGAATCCTAGAAGGACTGATCTCAAATCTACACATAGAAATCATTCTTTGGCTCCTACAGTTCCTGATCAGCCGGGCTGTGGTTCCTACTTTGGACTGCGTGCGGCCAGCAGTAACAGCCTGGTTGATCAGACCTTCATCCACTAGGTTTGATATTGGGCTTCGGGGGCGTTGACCCTTGGAACACTCTCCAAGTGGGGTGGCAGGAGGTAGAGGTGCTGGTGGTGCTACTGATGGTGGTGTAGTTGATGGTGGTTGTAGTGTTATTATTGGTGGTGGGGGTGGTAGTAGTGTTGGTGGGTAGTTACGGATGGGCGGCTGTTAGCAGTGGGTGTTTGTGGTGGTAGGTGGGTGGGTTTTGGTGGGTGGTGAGTGAGTTTTGGTGGGTGAGTGGGTATTGCCTGCACAGTTTCGGATGATGCGAGCCGACAGACGATGAGAAACACATACTCACAAGGCAATCCTTAATTACAACATTTCACGCAGGACTGAACGACACATCCCAACAAGTTTTATCACTGCACTAAGTCAGCTGAGGCCCTGACAGCCAGGGATCTACATTACACATAAATGTCTTTGAGATCGGGACAGCGAGGTCTTGGAACATGACTGTCAACTGGAGAAAGACCGGCTAACAGATAAATATTTTTTTTAACAAGCTGGCCGTCTCCCACCGAGGCTGGGTGACCCAAAAAAAAAAACACTTTCACCATCTGGATGTCACTCCAAACAGCCAGTATCCCAACCCCCTCCTTTAAAGTACAGACATTGTACTTCCCACCTCCAAGACTCACAAGTCCAGCTAATCAGAAGGCTATATTTAAACATAATAATTTCTCTATACAAATATCTCGTACTTAGGGGAGGAAAATTTTGACGACGCTTCGGTCCCTCCTGGGCCATTTTGAAGTTACAACCTGATAATGGTTCAAGAGGGACAGAAACGTCGTCGTAAGTTCCCTCTCCTAAGTGAGGGTTATTTGCATATTGTTACATCCGCGGTATTGTGATTTTTTATTTTATATAGTTTGTATGCAGTAGTAAAGTGATACTGGCCTTAAGATCTACAGATGGACGAACATAACCTTGCATGACTAAACGTTACCGGGTTCTGCATGAAGAACCACCGGGATATAACTGAAAATTTGCAACTTTCTTAACTGGTCGTGGACCGGGCCGCGGGGGCGTTGATCCCCCGGAATAACCTCTAGGTAGACTCCAGGTAATTCTTCATAACAAGACTTCGTCATAAAAGAATCCTCACCAGGATGTGGGACAGCTACTGTCCCTGGCCAGCTACTGTCCCTGGCAAATTACTCTCCCTGGTCAGCTTCACTAATCAGAGACTAAGCCGCGATTAGCGGACGGAGGATCAAGTCCTTTTTTGTTGTAGTAAAATGGCAATGGCCTTTAGTTCTACCCTCGGACGATCATAACCTTGCATGGCAACAAGTTACCGGTTCTGTATGAACAACTATCGGTCACTGAATGACCTCACTTGTCAGAGACTACGCCGCGATTAGCGGACGGAGGATTGAGCCTCTACCACTCGCGCTAAATGACACCCCCTCCCACAGGTGTAGTGCTTAACTTAAGACTTAAAAAGATGGGACAGCTACTTTGTGGTCGTTGCAGGTCACCAAGGGCGCCACATGTCCTTTTCTTCCTGAGTGGCGGAGGTGGAGGGTCTGTCAGGAGACGCATTGTCCAACGCCATCTCCTTTTTTGGCGTCGTTGGCGAAGTCGGCGACGTCTCCGGAGACGCGTGTGAGTGTAAGGATGTCAGTGACGGAGGAGGAGTCATATTTGAAGGAGATATGTGCGAAGGTGGGGCCACGTGTGAGGGAGATGTGTGTGATGGAGGCGTTGGGTATGAGGGAGATGTTTGAGAATGTGAGGACGTATGTGAGGTAGGAGTCAAGTGTAAGGGAGATGTGTGTGAATGTGTAGGAGGAGTCAGGTGCAAAGGAGATGTTTGTGGCTGCGAAGTAGGAGTCAGGTGTGGAGATGTTTGTGAAGAGTCTAAAGACTGCCCAGGAGGTGTAAGGCGCAGTGGGATGGATGGACCCACTGAAGAAGAGTATTCTGTTTTCATTATTTTTGGTGGACAAGCACAAGAGTTGTCTTGCTCTTCTAAAGGCCTCTTATTGGTTAATGTCTGCGACAAATGTGAGCTTTGTGTTACTTGATATTTGTTAGCAAGCATGAGGCCAGGAGGATATGGCGAAGGTGTTAAGTGTGTGGATGAGCTGTGTTTGACCTCTGTGTGTGAGAGGTTAGTATGTGTGGTCATAGACAGAGATGCGGGGTGGGTAGGCGTTGGTCTTGTCAAAGACCTCTTTCTGAAGGAATAGTCCAGAGGTGCACGAAGATCAGCATCTTGGGGAGCAGACATCGTTAAGTTTACTGGCTGAACGGCCACTTGCGCCCGGACCACGGTCTCTTGATGAGTCTCAGGAGGTCCTATATATCTTCTAGCTGTCGGAGCCACAACCTGCTGCGTCTGGGTAGAAGTGTGTGTGTCTGGTGCGCGAGTATGTATATCATGCTGTGTTCTGAGAGGCGATGACGCCCGTCGCACAGCCGTAAATGCAGAGGGTCGCAATGGGCGTTCACCGGATGAAGAGGCACCATCGTTTATCTTCACTACTTGCGGCTGAAGTACTTGGGACGGTTGTGCTATATTCTGGGGCGAAGGACCCGTGGGTGTTCCTTGAAGTGAAGGTGCTGTAGGTTGTGTTGCTGTTGGTGCATGTGGTGCAGCGCGAGCAAGAAGAGAGAGCCCACCATGAAGAAGAAGAGCTGCTCCAGCGGCGTCCCCAGCAGCAGCAAGTCTCGCTGCCACGAGACCATGTATCAGCCTCGCCTGATTGTTGTTGATGTCGCCGGGGTTCTGGTGAAGTGTTGGGGGAGGTGCTGGGTGCATGGTGTTACCCTGCAGGTGGGCTAGAGGCATCGGCAACCCAGCCATTGCAGTGAAGGACATGGGAGTCATGGCAGTCAACCCAGACACACACTGTCCCAGGTGCTGCATAAGGCGCTGACGAACAGCTGTGTCCACTCCCTCGATTCTTGACACGTACCTATTGGTAGATTAGTAGTTAATTACATCAAATTACAGTTTCTGCCCCACACACACACTCACACACACACAATATATATATATATATATATATATATATATATATATATATATATATATATATATATATATATATATATATATATATATATTAGCCGATCCCTAAGGGTTTAATGCTTCCCGGTGAATACAATAACAATTATAATAATTATTACACTGTTTAATTATCAGGATTTTTATGCAGTCAGACATGACAATGAACAATCCAAAACTCATTAAAATAAAATTGACAGTCTTAATATATGCATATAAAATACATAAAAAAAGGAAAACATACCCCACACGACTTTTTCTGGTGCTAGAAGCCTCGGGCAGTTACTGACCAACACAACAACAATGGAAAATAACAAAGACAAACACCAAATGAGGCAAACTTCGATTATTTCGACAAACACGTCAGTTGTAGAATCACTGTCAATATTCCCAGGTTTAAGTCTTCCAGTGTGTATGCTCTCTAGAATTATTACCAGCATCCAGACACTTCACAAATTATTTCTTGTCTCTTACGTCTTCCTCTTGCGAGTCTTTCTCTCAGAGATAACCTACACTGAGAAAAGGAAACTCGATACAAACTCATCTCACAATGTCGTTTAAAAGTTCCTTTCCTACATGTTTGTGTTACTTATAAACTGTTCCACCTCTGAGGCTTGGTCAGGTCCCGGGCCTCAGGGACATTAACCCCCGGAACACCCTTCGTGTATGTAGACTACGGTATTACCTCAAACGGTGTTATTATATTAATAATATACAGTGACGACAAGTTGATAAGACACATGTGCCATACCTCGATATCTACTTTGATGATACAGTTACTCGGTGTTGCACACGTGTCTTACGTATCAACCACGGTACTGTGACTTACCAAATAACCCGCACATAGAAGAGAGGAGCTTACGACAACGTTTGGGTCCGAGTTGACCTTATTCCCCACTACTACTACTACTACTACTACTACTACTACTACCACCACCACTACTACCTCTTCCTGCCTATATATACCCGTCCTATTCTACTTCTCGTTAGTGTGACTTTGTAAATGGTCCAAGTCGGAACGAAACGTCGTCGTAAGCTCCCTCTCTTCTATGTACGGGTTATTTGTGTATCGTTCCAGTCACGGTATTGTGCCTTTTGTTATTTCTGTGACTTATCTTTCTAAACATCTCTTCCTCGCGTCCTTTGTTTGGGCTGTTTCTGTTTGAGCTTTTAAGATATACACAAATATCTTCTCCACCACTATGGTTTCTCAACACTTTCCCCCTTCAACACTTAAATTTACTCCCGAATTCTATACGTTAATTATTTGTGCAGCTATCTCCAATCCCTATCTTCGGGTCAAACCTGTTTACATCCGATTTCGTAATACCATTACAGATTTAGCGTTTCCCCATGAAAACAACAACAACAATGATAATAAGTTGTAAGGGTTTGTACTCGATCGTCTATGAGTTTGCGTATTAGATTATTTACATTTTTGCGTAAACGCTATACCTGAGGATGGGAAGAATGAAAGGTTGTCTCTATGCGTCGCCAGAATGAAGACATCCCCTTGAAGGATTCGTATTGAGCTAAACCATCTCTTTCCTTTTCTTGTGTATGAACCCAGCTCTACCCTTGTATCAGTTCGCCTGTCTATCCATTCACCTCTAACCTTGCTCATGCCCTTCTCATTATCTCTAACTTCACCTGTGCCCTTCCTTTCATCTTTAACTTAACTTGTACTCTAGTCTTCACTTCTGACATCCCCTATTCCCTTCCTCTCACCTCTGCAAGGGTTCACCTGTGTCCCTGGGCTCTATGCTCACCTAGTGACCTCCTGGGCACACTCGGTGAAGCCACTGCGGAACTTGGTGAGAACAGCTGGGTCGTGGGCGACAGCGAGGGCCAGCTGCTGCCGCTGCACTGCTTGAAGATGCTTCACCGTCATCTCCAGGATATCTGCCTTCTCCAGCTTGCTGTGCCGCGCCGGCTGAAGGACGTACTCAACGTTAGTACAAGAAAAAACGTGACCTTATTAAGATATTAAACGATAACTAAGATATTATTAAAACTAAAAACAGGGCAAAATAATATATCAAGATCATTTTATTTAGCAAAACTGGATACACCAGCAGTGTGATGCTACTTCTACATGATAGCTACACAGTGGGAATAAAAGCTAGCTTTGTTTCCCCTGCCATACTCCATCATGCAGGTTGGGTCACATTCATGGTGTTGAAATGTGTCAGTCAGCCTAAGCTGGGAAACTTCAGTAAGGTAATGTGAATATGGTCAAGTGTTCCATTAAGGGTCAGCATCTACGGCAGCCTCAAACGTTTCGTTCCAGCAGAGCCAACAGGTTAACAAACTGACTGGCTGGAGAGCAAGCCGCAATTAGGAGACGAAGGATCGAATCTCCTCTAGACTCCTTGCATTGAACGTATTCAACGTTAAAATAAACTGTTTTATATTCACTCTGTTCAATTATTACGTCATTTAATAAGGGAGCAGCAAGGAGTAACGACTAGTAAACCCTCGAGTGACGACTAGAAAGTCCTCGAGTGACGACTGGCAAGCCTTCGAATGACGACTAGCAAGCCCTCGAGTAACAACTAGCAAGCCCTTGAGTGACAACTAGCAAGCCCTCAAGTGACGACTAGCAAGCCCTCGAGTGACAACTAGCAAGCCCTGAAGCGATAACTACGTTAGCAAGCTCTGAGTGGCTGCTTTAGAGAATGTGATCAAGGAAGCAGGCTTCCCGTGAGGGTCATTAGGAAGTGTTTTTTCTAATGGTGGTGGGTGTGATGGTTGTGGTAGTGTTCTTGATAGTGGTGGTGGTGGCAGTTGTGGTAGTGTAGGAGATAGTGGTGTTTGTGGTAGTGTTGGTGATAGTGATACTGGTAGTGATTGTGGTAACGCTGATAATAGTGAAAGTGGTAGCAGTGGTAGTTGTGGTGGTAGATGACGTAGTGTTGGAGTAGAAGTAGTGTGGGATAGTAAGTGTGTGGTGATAGTAATAGTAGTGTTGGTGATAGTAATAGTAGTGTTGGTGGTAGCTGTGGTAGTGTTGATGGTAGTGACAGCGATGATAGAGGTAGCTGTGGTAGTGTTTGTGACAGCAGTGGAGGTGGTAATAGTGGTGGAAGTTGTGACAGAGTGGTGTTAGTGATGGTGGTGCTAGGTGTGGTGATAATGTTGGTGCTAGGTGTGGTAGTGTTGGTGGTAGTGATAGTGGTGATTGTGACTGGAGTTATAGTAGTGGTAATGGTGGTAGTTGTGGTGGTGGTGGTGGTACAGGTCTACAGTAACATCAGTGTTGGCGTGTGATGTTGACTCATGGTGGTGGTGGCATAATTCTCTGGTGGTGCCTTATACCACATATATTCAAGTAACATACTCGTGACTGTTATACTCATGTAACTGGTATGTTCATATGATTGTCTTGTATTACTGTCAATACATTCACCGTGGAGCACCAAACCTACAGGAGTCATACGGGGTGGTTTCTTGAGCATGCCAGATGTAGCATCTCTTCTGCAAATACCAAATAAAATATCTCTGTAAATGACGTAAGTTGTCAGAGGAACAGACTTGCTGACAGTGACGATCTGTACACCTTCACACACCTTGGTACCTCCCAAGGTAAACACATTGTGTTGATGGAGCCATTTTACGATTTTTCCCTGGGCACTCACTCACGACCCCCTGGAAATTCCTTCATGACTCACCCGAAACTACTCACGATTTTTCTGGAAGTTCATACAGGATACCCGTGGAAGTACGTACACAATCTCCCTGGAAACGTGCTCACGACCCCCTGGAAGTTCGCTCACGACCCCATGAAAGCTCGCGACATCCTAGAAACACACTTACGATGTCCCGGGAACTGCACTTTGACGTCTTCCAAAGCCTCAGTAACTTTGTCTCACGATATCGTAATAATACGACTGGAAAAAAATCACAGAATGGGTGGAGTTTGAACCCTTGGCGAGTGATTAATTTCTCAGTGATTTTATCATAATAATCTAACAGTTACGACAGGCATAATCTTCATGCCGAAGAGGTAAAGCTTGTGATTTTGGCTTAAGTACCAACGGTCTTCTTGGCAAGTGAAAATTTGTGTATGCAATAATTTCGCGAAAATCATTCTGAACCTAAAGAAAAAAATATATTTCATTGTGTTTGTTTATTATTAAATTACTGTAAACTTATCTAAAATATATTTAGTTGAATTAGGCTAAATTAAATTGCACTTGTTATAATAAGGTTAGGTAAGTTTTCTAAGGTTCTGCTGGTACAAAATCATTAATTTTTACATTAACATAAATGAAAAAAATATACATCTTTAAACGTATAAGAGAAAATTTTAGAAAGGACTTAATTTTAAACGAGTTCTTGCTAACTGACCAGTTTTACTATTCGGCACGACATGTCTGGATGATAGTGGGTTGGGGTATTGTGCGCTTCTGTTCTCTGTTATCCGTGGATTTAATTTAAAATTTTAGCAGTCATTAGAGTTCCCTGGTATGTTTCTGCTTGGTACTATTTCCAGGGTAATACTATTATCTATCATATATCATTATATTTCTCTGGGGTTCCAGTTTTCCAGGAGGTGTGTGAAGGCAAAACAGAAAAAGTCCTTGGTGTAATCAGAACTGCAGGTATGGCATCACCAGTGTTGCAGGAATGACACTACGTGTGTTGCAGGCATAACATCACGAGGACTGCATTCATAACACCTTCCAAAGAAAGGAGGAGCGAAAGAAAGAGCGGAAGAGATATGTTAAACTCATTCTTTGAACCAATTATGCCGGCGATCGTAGTTTAAAAGGAGGGAAACGAGGCGCGGGAGCTGAGAATCGACGGCCGCAAACCTATATCTGGGTGAGTACAACTCAGCAATTACATCCCAACAGCAAAGATGCTTAAGGTGCCACCCACGACCCTTCGTCATTAAGACACTCCCACACCTACCTAACCTCGCCTCCCGTGCATACAGATCAACTTAACACGCTACACACGTCTTCCCGAGTGCAGTGTCTCCCAGGGTCCTCCTCACTGCTCCGTATACTGCATCTTATGTAATATAGAGCAGTTGTAATTTATGCATACTGTATATATAAATATATATTTGTACGCGTATACGAATGCACGCATGAATTTACACATTAATGAATTTATGCATTTATACGACTGCACCTCGAAGCCCATGTACGTCATGCAGGTATGAATTTAAATTTTTGCATTCATGCACTTGCCTGTATGTAATGCAATCGCTAAAAGGCGATCTTAACACCGCAGAAGAAGCCACGTGGGGATGCAGATCTTTGGTTCTAGATCTTTCGCGCTCTCATGTGTCGTCAGGAGCTGTTCAGTGTTGCAAGGCGGAAACAGATAGGAGGGGAAATTCTCTGAGGCAATGCAGAGGGTATCAATGGCGACCCATGACATGGATTGCCAGTGATACCTTCTGCCTTGCCTCAGAGAATTTTCCCTCCTATATATTGTCTTGCAACACTGCATAGCTCCTGACGACGCACAAGAGTGCGAAAGATCTAGAGCTAAAGATTTCTATCCCTCTGTGGCTTGTTCTGTATGTATGTACATATTTCCTGAGCTCAAATCCCATGTATATCTTTAAAAAATTCTGATACTTTTATTCACTATCAAATTCTCTTTATATACAGTATAAATACATACATAAATACATACATACATGACTATGTGTGTATGTATTTATTTTGGAAATTTGCATGTATGTGTACTTACACGGAGAAGGTCTTGAAACCTCGCATCTTCAAAAGAGATACGGGAAGACGATTCGGGGGTCGCCGCCCCTTTCCCCGCGGACCGAATTAAATATAACAGAGGAATACGTTGTTAACTGGTCACATTTAGGTTACTTATGTCGCTTGTTGGGGAGTTGAGAAGGTCACTGCTCCTCCCAACCCTTCACCGTGACCAGGTCCCAGATCAGGCCTCCTGGTTGCTGGCCTGATCGACTAGGCTATTGATACCCGCCGGTGGACAGAGAACGTTCACCGCTCGTACAAATTCAGCCAGGTACCTAATTTATTATAAACACCAGAGTCCGTTGATCTATACTCTTTGACACGCAGGGGATAAAATACATAATAATTTACTTTTAGATCATGCTTACTGTCTGTAGGAAATTAAAACAGTGAAGGTGAATGCAACAAAACATTATGCATGATAACAGAACGATATGTATGATAACAGAACGATATGTATGATAACAGAACGATATGTATGATAACAGAACGATATGTATGATAACAGAACACTATGTATGATAACAGAACGATACGTATAACAGAACACTATGTATGATAACAGAGCACTATGTATAATAAAACACTATGTATAATAACAAAACACTATGTATGATAACAATACACTATGCATGATAATAGAACACTGTGTATGATAAAAGAGCAGTATGATAATAGAGCACTATGTATGATAATAGAGCACTATGTATGATAATAGAGCACTATGTATAATAATAGAGCACTATGTATAATAATAGGGCACTATGTATAATAATAGACACTATGTAAACAATAGAGCACTATGTATAATAATAGAGCACTATGTATAATAATAGAGACTATGTATAACAATAGAGCACTATGTATAACAATAGAGCACTATGTATAATAATAGAGCACTATGTATAATAATAGAGCACTATGTATGATAATAGAGCACTATGTATAATAATAGAGCACTATGTATAATAATAGAGCACTATGTATAACAATAGAGCACTATGTATAACAATAGAGCACTATGTATAATAATAGAGCACTATGTATAATAATAGAGCACTAAGTATAATAATAGAGCACTATGTATAACAATAGAGCACTATGTATGACAACTGACCTTCTGTGTACCTGGGCCTTAATAAACTTAACACTTCTGATATGTGCAGGACCCCTAAGAAATAATAAAAAGGCACAATAC